TCTAAAACATTGAGAGCTTTACCTTAACCAGGGTCCTTGTGTTCATACTTTTCTTTATTGGCATTCATGCTCCATTGGGTTAAGAATCCTTTCTTTGGATAACTGTGCACTGATGTACATGGTACCTGTAAGTAATAGTTGGCGAAACCAACTGAAACCTAATGCTGAGGATATAGCATTCCATTCAGGGAAAATGGCAGGCCTACAAGCCTCATCACATCTAGTTGAAACACATGCAAATGTTTTGAAGTTTGATCATAGCTACGAGTTAAGAACTTGTCAAAACCCCCTTGTCCCTTTTCAATGTTGGAAAATGGCAAAATGCATTCATTTGTCTGCTCAAAGTGTTTTGTCTACATTTCAGTGGGGTGGGGATGGGCAAAATGAGTGAAAACTGAAGTGTTTCAACAATCACATTCATTGACACGATGCATTAACCTTAAGTTAATATTTCCTTTCAGCTTGACATGGATGTGAACCACATGACAGTCTGTATGCCGTATCAGTTGTTTATCAATGGAGAATTTGTGGACTCTTCCAGTGGACGTACATTTGATTGTATCAACCCAACTGATGGCTCTGTAAGAAATAAATTTATATGTGAATCATTAGATAAGAGTGCTAAATGCTTTGCTTTTTTCACTAATATATTTCTTGATTGTTTTTTATATCCTAAAGGTACTTACAAAAGTCTCTTTTGCAAGCGTTGAGGATGTGGATAAAGCCGTTGTGGCAGCAAAGGTTAATAAATGAATTTTAATTAATATGTTCTTTTTTGAGGCCTTGAACTACATCACTAAATGTAAGAGGGGGTGGGGGCAGTGGGTAGCTAGATTGGAAGTAATAAAAATGCTGTTAAGTCAGGTAGTCTCATTATCAGGCTTGTCACTGGCCTAGCTGGAGGTAAAATATTTTTATTTAATCAAAAATTATCAGGAAAAGTCAGACTAGTCACTAAAAAATTACCATTAGATAATAATTTTCTTCATGGTTGGTGGTATGAGTCATGTTACATGTATTGTGCATTTGGTTCTTTTTAGGAAGCATTTGATAATGGGCCTTGGGGAACAATGAATGCAAGAGATCGTGGACACCTGATGTACAAGTAAGCAATTTAATTTTCTTTCTGGCAAATTGTAATGTCTCGTTATCTGGTATCTAACTCATCTTTGAGAAGTTGTGCCAGAAGACATTTGAGCCTTTCAGTCAGAACATAAAATAAATACAGTGAAACCTGTAGTAAGCGGACCTCATATTAAGCGGACACCGGCTTGAGTCCCTAAATTTTCTTCCCACATTTACTGTGAAATAAACCTGCATTCAGCAGACACCTCTGTTAAGCAGACGCGGACACCAATATTAAGCCATTTTGTTGCACAAAACCTGCAATAAGTGGACACTTCAAGGACTTTTTACTTCTAAAAGCTCAGCTCAGACCTTTAACATTGTTCAGTAATGCCATTTAAAAGCAAAGTAGATTATTCATGCATTGACTGACAGCCGGACATAGTGCTATGAGCAGTCTTTGATCTTACACTGTGTTACAAAAGGGTTAATAACTATTATTGCTAAATATATTAGAACCTGCTTTGAGAGGACACCCTGTATTAAGTGGACACTAGTGAGTGTCCCAAAAATGTCCGCTTAATTAATTTAATACAGGTTTCACTGTAAAGATATTCACTTTTTTATTTGTCCTGGAATTCTTCTCTTTCATGTACTGTTGTTCTGTTTGTTTTGTAAAGGTTGGCTGATTTAATGGAAGAACACCAGGAGGAACTAGCCACAATAGAATCTCTTGATTCTGGTGCTGTCTACACTCTTGCTCTCAAGACTCACATTGGTATGTCAATTGCTACACTGCGTTACTTTGCTGGATGGAGTGACAAGATTCAGGTAGAGCTATTGTACATGAAAATATTTTCATTGATTATATAACTACTAAGCCTACAGTGTTAAGCAATAAACCTCCAAGAGAGATCAAATTTTTTGTGAATGACATAAAAATGTTAAAAACAATTCCATTTTACTTAGGCTTTGTATTGTTATCAGCAGTTAGGATTTTATGAACAGGGCTGAGAGGTAAATGTCAAGCTCAATCTTATGGGGTTCAAACTTCCAAAATTAAGACTCTAGATATTATTTGCTTAGAACCTACATTGTTCTATGGAATTAAATTCAGTCATGTCTGCTTCTGTACAGGGACTGACAGTTCCAATCAATAATGCTAAACCCAACAGGAACTTGTGCTACACCAAACGAGTACCAATTGGGTGAGTACTGGACAATGCTCTTCTGTAACACTTCATACTTGAGACTTTTTATAATACAGAATACGTAATGAGAATACCATTAATGAGAATAACAGTCCCAGTCAGTTCAGATGAGATTTAAGGGACTTTGTTTGTTCTCTCAACTGTATTGGTGAATTGATCCTAACGGGTCATTAACCTAAGCAGTTGCAAAGGCTTAAACAGGAATCAAATGAATGAACTTGTGATACCTGAGTGTTTTGCTTTATCAACTGAGCTCTCTTAGCTGAGCCTCCCTGGGAGATTAAGAACTCTATAGCAAGGCACTTATGCTATGTACCTCTTCTGCGTACATCTTCTCTAATCTTGTTCTTTCTTTTTTCTTCTGTGTGCCTTGATGAATTTCAGCAGCCAGGCATGTTCATGGAATCCCAAATTATGACACCCCTTTCCACCTTGCTTTTTAAGGTTGTAGTTGAAGCCGGCTGACATTTATGAGCAAGACAAATCATCATGCTTAAGTGGTTGCACTTCCTTCACCACTCTTGGCATCTTTGCCTTGATAAAAAGGAAGTAGAATAGCATTTAAGGTACAGTGAAGCTTCATTTTATAGATTGGGGCAAATTGAAGGTTTCGTTTTTGTTCCACATGCTCTTAGCAGATGCATTTATGAGCTTGTTACCTTTGGTACAAGTGTACATGTAGCCTCTCAAAATGATTGCGAATCTGTCAGGACAAATCAGGTAGCTTGTGATTTACAAGTAGAATTTAAGGCATTTGGTGTAAGTTGGGTTTGCACTGGGAACAATACGCTGGTCTTATTTTGGTCATTTGTGGTTGTTCTTCCTTCACCACTCACGGCAATGTTGTCGTGATAAAAAGGAAGCAATTATAACTTAACTGTTAATGAAAATTTTAATAAAATTAAGAACTGTATGGGTGGTAGTCTTGACATAAGCAAAATTCTTGAGAAGTATTTGGCAAATTTATGTGCAAAAATTAAGGAGAATATTTGATATTTCTTGCTCACAAATTAAATCGCTCTGGATGTAAAGGATGTTTATTGTGTTGTTTGCAGTGTGTGTGGGCTAATTGTGCCGTGGAACTATCCTCTAATGATGTTAGCGTGGAAGATCTCTCCTCTTTTGGCTGCTGGTAACACAGTTGTATTAAAACCAGCCCAGGTATGAACCACATGTGCAAGGATGGTGTTAGCTCTAGCCAATTGCTTTGTTACACAGCTCATGCCAAGAAGTTACAATGATGTAATATAGAGTTTGTAGGAGTGGTCTCTTATTAGAGAGATTAAGCAGGATGTTACGTCTAACGGCAAACGGCAAAACTGAAACTTTTGCCGTCTGTCTTCAGCTGTCTGTACAGTAGAGTGAAAATATTTGTATTTGCAGTGGGTAGTAGAATACATTTTTCTATTTTTGTGTGATTTATTTAAGGATTACAAGAAAAGAAAAAAAATCAGAGGTAATCTTTGCCGTTTGCTGTCTGCCGTAAATGTCATCCTCAAACTCTCTATTAATGAAATCCTCAGAACGTTATGCCCAAAACATATATCTTGCTCTTGTACTCTTGTACATAACACTGATCTATTAATTGCATCATTTTGTAGGTGACACCACTGACAGCGCTCAAGTTTGCTGAACTTTCTGCCAAAGCTGGATTTCCAAAGGGTGTTATTAACATTTTACCTGGATCAGGTACACTTCCACATTCTTGTACAAAGATGAAATTGTAATTGTATATTTAAAAGTACTCAATGCAGTAGTACTGTTGACTTGGTTCCAAAATTTTATAGAGCTACATAATTCTGGTAAGAATTTGGGCTCTAATCAGATCAGATGTTAGGAAGACTAGCAGCAACACAGAGCAAAGAGTGTTAGGTTGAGAGTGTGACGGCCTTATTCGTCTACTGGCATGACAATGCTGATCTAATGATGATGATGATGATGATGATGATGATGATGATGATGATGAAAGTGTTCTTCAGGTTTCAGTTAGTGATTCCTCTTTGGCTGTTGTTCCTTACAGGGTCTGTGGTTGGTAATCGTATCTGTGCTCATCCTGATGTCAGAAAGCTTGGCTTCACTGGGTCGACTGAAACTGGAAAGTCAATTATGGAAAGGTACCCAAGTACATGTACTCATTTGTTATTTATTATTGCGTGGTGTGTTCCTTGTTATTATTCTGGCTGATTTTGTTACAAATTTGTTCTGGTTAAAACACTGTGTAATATGTTGCATCCTCTGTGAATATTGAGCAACACATGTGCAGTCTTAGTGATGTTGCAGAGACCAGAATCGAGAATTATGACGTTGTGTATAAAGCTTGTGTATAAAGCTTGTTAAGTATAGTACTGTTATTCTCAGACATATTTCTCTTTTCTCCATTATATAACAATGTAGTTGTGCTGTGAGCAATCTCAAGAAGTGTTCTTTGGAACTGGGAGGCAAATCACCACTCATTATCTTCTCAGACTGTGATATGGACAGAGCCGTGAGACAGGTAAGAACAGAAGTGTAGTAGCTTTCTTAAGCTGCTATAGTTGTTTTATTAGTGTAGTTATTGTTTTAGGGGCATTGTTTCCATTGTTTGTTCTTTTGTTCCCTTATAGGGTATCGAGCTATTCACGTGACACCCAACCAGATAAAAGAGCTGCCACGTGACCCAGTCAGATTGCATCACACTATTCTTGTTGTCTTTCAATGCTTATTGTAAGCAAGCAAATATGTGAAACATATGTTTGAACTGTAGGAGAAAGAGTTAAAGACACAAGATCATTGCAATTATGTACTCAACTAAAGGCAGTTGTGAAAGTTAAGCCTGACAAATTCAGGATTGAATTCAAAGGATTTAAATCCATGACCTCTGTGATACATGTAACGATGCAGTGCTCTAGGAGCTTAGCCAAGCTCATATAAACCCATAGATGGTGAAGATATTCAAGTAAATATATGAAACATGTAACTATTTGAACGCAGGGAGAGAAAGATCATTACAAGCTAGACCCCAATACTATGAGGGACACTGAATTATTCTAAAGCACACACACACAGTAGTTCTCTAAGCTAACTAGGTCTAATAAATGATTATGAGCAGAACCAGAGGGCTCTGCTTGGATGGTTATTGAGAGTATAATGAAGACCTAAGAATAATATATATTTTTTATAACCAGGGAATGATGGCTTGTATGTTCAACAAAGGAGAAAACTGTATTGCTGCTGGTGAGTGAAATATTGATTCAGAACTGTTAATAATAACAGGTAACTGTGTATGCTGTTCTGTCCTCAAGTTTAAACAAGGGTTCAACACTGTCACTGTGTTAAGATATCCGAGCTTGATTGAAAAAAAAAAAACTTTAAAAAAAAAACGTCTTACAATTTTATTTGTCCCATTTTCTCCTTAGTTTAAGTCTTGATACTATAGAGAAGATATATCAAACACTCAAGGCAGTGTTTTACTTCATTTCCAAACACCTCAAATATTTGCAACATGTTGTATTTTCAACTCTCTTCTTGGTGTCTGGAAAATGTTAAAAGTAGTGAAACATGTTCTCTTGTGATGAAGCAATTCATCTTATTATTTGCATGCAACTTGGTAACTTAATTACGTACATTTTTGTTTTTGTTTTTTTTGTCAGGTCGGCTTTTTGTTGAAGCGTCCATTCATGATGAGTATGTCCACAGAGTGGTAAGTCAAGCATAATTTTCTCAGCCATATTCATTTTTTTAAATTTTTTTTTCCAGTATGCAAGTAGACTGTTTTGACCCATCGTATCCCAAGCTTGCTTACTGCATTGCCATTGATATTGACTCTAAGAATTAATTGCTAGATAATTTACATAACTACAAGGCAGAATTGCTTGCTGATCACTCCTGGGACTTGAATGGAATAATTTGAGCTATTTACTGGCTTCAATTTTGAAAGTTTGTGGTTAAGTACTGTATTTAATTTAACTAAAATCTGTTTTGAACTCACTGTAGGTTGAAGAGATTAAAAAAATGAAAATTGGAGATCCCCTTGATCGTTCAACAGATCATGGCCCTCAGAATCACAAGTAAGTTTTTTACAACAATAACAATGACAGCAATAAGATGCAGGGGTGTCACTAAGTTTTGAGTCACCTGTAGCCTCGTTGTCCATACCCATAGCAAACTGGTATATACTTTGTGGGTGAATTCTATCAACAACAGGCAATTTGACCTGTAGCCGTAACAGTGTTACAGGTTACGGCCCTTAATGACAGCCCTGAGATGGTTTGGTAAAATAAACTGATAACACACCAAGGATTGCTTACTCTCATGAACCACCCCTTAGTTGGATGTTTATTTATTTATTGAGTTCTTTAAAAACGTTTAAAACAGATCTAAAAAAGTAAAATTGTCTCTAAATTTTTCGACCGCCCTCTGCGGTCTTCTTCAGAGAAGAAGACCGCAGAAGGTAGTCGAAAATTTAGAGACAATTTTACTTTTTAGATCTGTTTTAAATGTTTTTAAAGAACTATGAGCACAGATCGCTCCAACAGTTTTATTTATTCAGCTTGTTTTGTTTTCTGATATTACAGAGCTCATCTGGACTCTCTTATTGATTACTGCAAGAAAGGAGTGGAGGAAGGAGCAACATTAGTTTATGGTGGCAAACAGCTTGACAGGCCAGGTTTGATGCTGCATGTACTGTAAGACTAACAACGAATATGAATTAAATTATTCGAGCAAAGCTGTACAAGAGTTTTAACTTTTCTGCCACTTATTCAAAAAGTCTTTTTGACAGTGTCAATCTTACATCTTATGGCACAATTAGGGAGAATTTGATCATGTTTTGGTTGAGTATTAAGACAATTTTTTAATGTTGTATATTTTGATTATTTACTTCAATTAGTACAAAATAATGTATCTTCCTTCTTATCTTGGTAGGTTACTTCTTTGAGCCTACTGTATTCACTGATGTGAAGGACAACACGTTTTTGTCTCAGGAGGAATCATTTGGCCCAATTATGATTGTTTCTAAATTTGAAGACGGGTGAGTACATGTACATGTACAGTTACCTCCAGTGTGTATCAGTGAACATTTGAAAAGTGATGCACACTCTTATTGCTTTCATTTTGTCACAACTTGTCAGATGATAATTCTGATGTTAACATGCAGGTCTGAAAATCTGATACTGTGCATTGAGCATTAATCTCTGATGGGTTATACACTGTTAATCACGCAGGTGATTGATGGCCTGAACTTTCTGTAGGTGTCAAGATCTATGATGTCATAGGGGTTGGCATTAACCATGCAGTCTTGTTTATTTGTAGTGATGTTGAAGGTGTTTTGAAGAGTGCTAATGGTACAGAGTATGGGCTTGCCTCTGGTGTTTTCACTAAAGACTTGAGCAAGGTTAGTGTAATTAACACCGGAATCTTGAATTTCAACTTGGGTGTAAAAATTATTGTTGCTCCATTACACCCTGTGTTGTCAACTTATGGTGCTGTTTTATTGATTAATGCATAGACTGCAGGATCTAGCATAGATATACTGAAAGAGGAAAAGGTTGTTGTTATTCATCGTGGTAGATGCAATACTGAATAGATGCAATACTGAAAGATTAAACATTTTTAATTAATTTAATAATTGTTAGAAAATTTTTAACATTTTTTCTGTGAACTTCAAGGCACTGCGTGTGGCTGATGGATTGGATGCAGGCACATGTTTTGTCAACACATACAACAAGACTGATGTTGCTGCTCCTTTTGGAGGCTTTAAGCAGTCCGGCTTTGGAAAAGACTTAGGTAAGCATTTTGTGTAATAATTTGGTGTTGGAATGACAAATCCTTCAGAAGTGTAATTAGAGGTTCTACCTTTTCTACATTGTGTTTACTGTATTTTAGTTAATATTTCTTTTTTTGTTTTAATTTTTTTAGGGGAAGAGGCACTCAATGAATACCTAAAGACTAAAGTGATCACTGTTGAATACTGAAATAATTCTGTTTGCATGTCACTGCTAAAGAAGAAAAAGATGCAAAATGTTTGTGTTAACTTAGGTGTAACACTAAAAATATGAGCCCTAATTTGACAACTAAAACATGAAATCACTCTGTTCTGTGCAAAGCAAAAACATGACATACAAGTAATGATAGAAAATCCCAGTCATGGCATGTATTAATTCTGTAGAGATCAACTCCCAATTTCTCCTTGAAACATTAACCCAAAGTCATACGTGCTGGTCATGATATGAGAACTGTGATTATTACATGAGAAATCAGATTATTCTAACTACATGTACTACATCAGACATATCCTGCTATTTTGACCAGTCTCAACGGGTACAAGTAAACTAGTGAGAAACTGTAGGAGAAAGTGAACATTAGACAGGGGCGGATCCAGGATTTTCCTTAGAAGGGGTGCACCACTAAGGAATGGGGTAACTGACTGGTGAGGTAAACAAATTGTAAAAGTGAATACAAAGAAGAAGGCTTCATCTCAGGGGGGTGTGCACCCCCGGCACCCTCCCCCTAGATCTGCCCCTGTTAGAGAAAGACTGTTGTGAGATACTGAACAAACCACAGCAGCAAAAGGACAAGGACAGTTTGATCAAGATATTCTCCATAAAGTAAGTTTAAAATAACACTATGTTACTGATTTACAGAAAGGTGAGATCTCAGGGATTTTAACACTATTGAAAATGTTTACCACATGTATAAGCTTGTTCAGAAGTGTTATGAAAGTTAATGTGTTCATCTGCTGGAAGCATTTTATTTGTAAATTTATGTTGCATGATATTAAGTCAACTATGTTTTGCAGGTAGAGTTACCAGCATGTGAAATATAATATCTTCCAAAGCATGGTGTGTAAAATCTAAAGTAAGGAAGTGTGTGCACAACTTAAAAGTACAACTTCAAAATAAATTTCCACGCAATGTAATATTAGTTTTCAAAATTTCGTAGAATTGTTAGTGACATAAGCTGATTGCAGGCTATTTGTGAAATACCTCAAAGAATGTGCCTTACATGTATTTGTATAATAATTATTGCAATTAGCTGTAACACTAGTTTCACGGTCATTTGTTGCCTAGCAACAGATTTTAAAGTGCCTGTCATTTTGACTAGTAGTAAGTAGAATAGTATTTTATTAATAAAGCTGTCTTTATGTCAACAGACTTGATTGATAAAAGCAAAACCAATTTGCACAATCGTATTTTTGAGATGGTGAATAAAAGGCAATATTCTCCTTCTGTCAGTCACATGGATGTTTTGTTTTTTAACTGAATACTGAATACTGATGGTGCAGTGGTGAGAGTGCTGGCCTCTTGCCAATGTGGCCCAGGTTCGATTCCGGTCTGGTGTCATATGTGGGTTGAGTTTGTTGTTTTTTGCCTTGTTCCGAGAGTTTTTCTCCGGAAAATGAACATTTCTGTTTTTCTTGTACTTATGCTTATGTTTATGTCGAGCGCGTTACTAGTGAAAGAAGCACAAGACAAATAAGTGGGTTCATTCTTCTTATGTTTCTGCTTATGCTTATGTTTGTCGCAGCTGTTTTCACTTGTGCTTATGCTTGTGCTTGTGCTTATGCTCTAGTGAAAACCAGCCTTAACACTCCAAGTTACAATTTGACCAGTATAGAGGATGCACATGACAGCCAGCGAAGGCTGATTTGGTTTCCCCTCTAAATATTATAATTTATTTATTTATTTATTGACAAGTGTATCTGTGAAATAAAGATTTAAAAAAAACCTGGCGATTTCATTACCTCGTAAATGTCTACATGGGTTGATTTCTGGATGTCCGGACACACGCAAAATTTTGTCGCATTCTTTCTGCTGACGAAAGCACTCTAGGCACACCACATGCCAAATTAAAGAGCGATGTATACATATTTCGTCCAGAATAAATAGAGGAAACGGAGTCACACAATCTTATCCTAGATTGTGTTATACAGGGTATCTTGTGGGGGTAGGGGGTGGGGATGATTGCATGACATCAAGTAGATTACGTGACTTTTGCTTGTGGGAGAGAGGGTGGGTAGACATGTTACAGAACNCAAGAAGTGTTCTTTGGAACTGGGAGGCAAATCACCACTCATTATCTTCTCAGACTGTGATATGGACAGAGCCGTGAGACAGGTAAGAACAGAAGTGTAGTAGCTTTCTTAAGCTGCTATAGTTGTTTTATTAGTGTAGTTATTGTTTTAGGGGCATTGTTTCCATTGTTTGTTCTTTTGTTCCCTTATAGGGTATCGAGCTATTCACGTGACACCCAACCAGATAAAAGAGCTGCCACGTGACCCAGTCAGATTGCATCACACTATTCTTGTTGTCTTTCAATGCTTATTGTAAGCAAGCAAATATGTGAAACATATGTTTGAACTGTAGGAGAAAGAGTTAAAGACACAAGATCATTGCAATTATGTACTCAACTAAAGGCAGTTGTGAAAGTTAAGCCTGACAAATTCAGGATTGAATTCAAAGGATTTAAATCCATGACCTCTGTGATACATGTAACGATGCAGTGCTCTAGGAGCTTAGCCAAGCTCATATAAACCCATAGATGGTGAAGATATTCAAGTAAATATATGAAACATGTAACTATTTGAACGCAGGGAGAGAAAGATCATTACAAGCTAGACCCCAATACTATGAGGGACACTGAATTATTCTAAAGCACACACACACAGTAGTTCTCTAAGCTAACTAGGTCTAATAAATGATTATGAGCAGAACCAGAGGGCTCTGCTTGGATGGTTATTGAGAGTATAATGAAGACCTAAGAATAATATATATTTTTTATAACCAGGGAATGATGGCTTGTATGTTCAACAAAGGAGAAAACTGTATTGCTGCTGGTGAGTGAAATATTGATTCAGAACTGTTAATAATAACAGGTAACTGTGTATGCTGTTCTGTCCTCAAGTTTAAACAAGGGTTCAACACTGTCACTGTGTTAAGATATCCGAGCTTGATTGAAAAAAAAAAAACTTTAAAAAAAAAACGTCTTACAATTTTATTTGTCCCATTTTCTCCTTAGTTTAAGTCTTGATACTATAGAGAAGATATATCAAACACTCAAGGCAGTGTTTTACTTCATTTCCAAACACCTCAAATATTTGCAACATGTTGTATTTTCAACTCTCTTCTTGGTGTCTGGAAAATGTTAAAAGTAGTGAAACATGTTCTCTTGTGATGAAGCAATTCATCTTATTATTTGCATGCAACTTGGTAACTTAATTACGTACATTTTTGTTTTTGTTTTTTTTGTCAGGTCGGCTTTTTGTTGAAGCGTCCATTCATGATGAGTATGTCCACAGAGTGGTAAGTCAAGCATAATTTTCTCAGCCATATTCATTTTTTTAAATTTTTTTTTCCAGTATGCAAGTAGACTGTTTTGACCCATCGTATCCCAAGCTTGCTTACTGCATTGCCATTGATATTGACTCTAAGAATTAATTGCTAGATAATTTACATAACTACAAGGCAGAATTGCTTGCTGATCACTCCTGGGACTTGAATGGAATAATTTGAGCTATTTACTGGCTTCAATTTTGAAAGTTTGTGGTTAAGTACTGTATTTAATTTAACTAAAATCTGTTTTGAACTCACTGTAGGTTGAAGAGATTAAAAAAATGAAAATTGGAGATCCCCTTGATCGTTCAACAGATCATGGCCCTCAGAATCACAAGTAAGTTTTTTACAACAATAACAATGACAGCAATAAGATGCAGGGGTGTCACTAAGTTTTGAGTCACCTGTAGCCTCGTTGTCCATACCCATAGCAAACTGGTATATACTTTGTGGGTGAATTCTATCAACAACAGGCAATTTGACCTGTAGCCGTAACAGTGTTACAGGTTACGGCCCTTAATGACAGCCCTGAGATGGTTTGGTAAAATAAACTGATAACACACCAAGGATTGCTTACTCTCATGAACCACCCCTTAGTTGGATGTTTATTTATTTATTGAGTTCTTTAAAAACGTTTAAAACAGATCTAAAAAAGTAAAATTGTCTCTAAATTTTTCGACCGCCCTCTGCGGTCTTCTTCAGAGAAGAAGACCGCAGAAGGTAGTCGAAAATTTAGAGACAATTTTACTTTTTAGATCTGTTTTAAATGTTTTTAAAGAACTATGAGCACAGATCGCTCCAACAGTTTTATTTATTCAGCTTGTTTTGTTTTCTGATATTACAGAGCTCATCTGGACTCTCTTATTGATTACTGCAAGAAAGGAGTGGAGGAAGGAGCAACATTAGTTTATGGTGGCAAACAGCTTGACAGGCCAGGTTTGATGCTGCATGTACTGTAAGACTAACAACGAATATGAATTAAATTATTCGAGCAAAGCTGTACAAGAGTTTTAACTTTTCTGCCACTTATTCAAAAAGTCTTTTTGACAGTGTCAATCTTACATCTTATGGCACAATTAGGGAGAATTTGATCATGTTTTGGTTGAGTATTAAGACAATTTTTTAATGTTGTATATTTTGATTATTTACTTCAATTAGTACAAAATAATGTATCTTCCTTCTTATCTTGGTAGGTTACTTCTTTGAGCCTACTGTATTCACTGATGTGAAGGACAACACGTTTTTGTCTCAGGAGGAATCATTTGGCCCAATTATGATTGTTTCTAAATTTGAAGACGGGTGAGTACATGTACATGTACAGTTACCTCCAGTGTGTATCAGTGAACATTTGAAAAGTGATGCACACTCTTATTGCTTTCATTTTGTCACAACTTGTCAGATGATAATTCTGATGTTAACATGCAGGTCTGAAAATCTGATACTGTGCATTGAGCATTAATCTCTGATGGGTTATACACTGTTAATCACGCAGGTGATTGATGGCCTGAACTTTCTGTAGGTGTCAAGATCTATGATGTCATAGGGGTTGGCATTAACCATGCAGTCTTGTTTATTTGTAGTGATGTTGAAGGTGTTTTGAAGAGTGCTAATGGTACAGAGTATGGGCTTGCCTCTGGTGTTTTCACTAAAGACTTGAGCAAGGTTAGTGTAATTAACACCGGAATCTTGAATTTCAACTTGGGTGTAAAAATTATTGTTGCTCCATTACACCCTGTGTTGTCAACTTATGGTGCTGTTTTATTGATTAATGCATAGACTGCAGGATCTAGCATAGATATACTGAAAGAGGAAAAGGTTGTTGTTATTCATCGTGGTAGATGCAATACTGAATAGATGCAATACTGAAAGATTAAACATTTTTAATTAATTTAATAATTGTTAGAAAATTTTTAACATTTTTTCTGTGAACTTCAAGGCACTGCGTGTGGCTGATGGATTGGATGCAGGCACATGTTTTGTCAACACATACAACAAGACTGATGTTGCTGCTCCTTTTGGAGGCTTTAAGCAGTCCGGCTTTGGAAAAGACTTAGGTAAGCATTTTGTGTAATAATTTGGTGTTGGAATGACAAATCCTTCAGAAGTGTAATTAGAGGTTCTACCTTTTCTACATTGTGTTTACTGTATTTTAGTTAATATTTCTTTTTTTGTTTTAATTTTTTTAGGGGAAGAGGCACTCAATGAATACCTAAAGACTAAAGTGATCACTGTTGAATACTGAAATAATTCTGTTTGCATGTCACTGCTAAAGAAGAAAAAGATGCAAAATGTTTGTGTTAACTTAGGTGTAACACTAAAAATATGAGCCCTAATTTGACAACTAAAACATGAAATCACTCTGTTCTGTGCAAAGCAAAAACATGACATACAAGTAATGATAGAAAATCCCAGTCATGGCATGTATTAATTCTGTAGAGATCAACTCCCAATTTCTCCTTGAAACATTAACCCAAAGTCATACGTGCTGGTCATGATATGAGAACTGTGATTATTACATGAGAAATCAGATTATTCTAACTACATGTACTACATCAGACATATCCTGCTATTTTGACCAGTCTCAACGGGTACAAGTAAACTAGTGAGAAACTGTAGGAGAAAGTGAACATTAGACAGGGGCGGATCCAGGATTTTCCTTAGAAGGGGTGCACCACTAAGGAATGGGGTAACTGACTGGTGAGGTAAACAAATTGTAAAAGTGAATACAAAGAAGAAGGCTTCATCTCAGGGGGGTGTGCACCCCCGGCACCCTCCCCCTAGATCTGCCCCTGTTAGAGAAAGACTGTTGTGAGATACTGAACAAACCACAGCAGCAAAAGGACAAGGACAGTTTGATCAAGATATTCTCCATAAAGTAAGTTTAAAATAACACTATGTTACTGATTTACAGAAAGGTGAGATCTCAGGGATTTTAACACTATTGAAAATGTTTACCACATGTATAAGCTTGTTCAGAAGTGTTATGAAAGTTAATGTGTTCATCTGCTGGAAGCATTTTATTTGTAAATTTATGTTGCATGATATTAAGTCAACTATGTTTTGCAGGTAGAGTTACCAGCATGTGAAATATAATATCTTCCAAAGCATGGTGTGTAAAATCTAAAGTAAGGAAGTGTGTGCACAACTTAAAAGTACAACTTCAAAATAAATTTCCACGCAATGTAATATTAGTTTTCAAAATTTCGTAGAATTGTTAGTGACATAAGCTGATTGCAGGCTATTTGTGAAATACCTCAAAGAATGTGCCTTACATGTATTTGTATAATAATTATTGCAATTAGCTGTAACACTAGTTTCACGGTCATTTGTTGCCTAGCAACAGATTTTAAAGTGCCTGTCATTTTGACTAGTAGTAAGTAGAATAGTATTTTATTAATAAAGCTGTCTTTATGTCAACAGACTTGATTGATAAAAGCAAAACCAATTTGCACAATCGTATTTTTGAGATGGTGAATAAAAGGCAATATTCTCCTTCTGTCAGTCACATGGATGTTTTGTTTTTTAACTGAATACTGAATACTGATGGTGCAGTGGTGAGAGTGCTGGCCTCTTGCCAATGTGGCCCAGGTTCGATTCCGGTCTGGTGTCATATGTGGGTTGAGTTTGTTGTTTTTTGCCTTGTTCCGAGAGTTTTTCTCCGGAAAATGAACATTTCTGTTTTTCTTGTACTTATGCTTATGTTTATGTCGAGCGCGTTACTAGTGAAAGAAGCACAAGACAAATAAGTGGGTTCATTCTTCTTATGTTTCTGCTTATGCTTATGTTTGTCGCAGCTGTTTTCACTTGTGCTTATGCTTGTGCTTGTGCTTATGCTCTAGTGAAAACCAGCCTTAACACTCCAAGTTACAATTTGACCAGTATAGAGGATGCACATGACAGCCAGCGAAGGCTGATTTGGTTTCCCCTCTAAATATTATAATTTATTTATTTATTTATTGACAAGTGTATCTGTGAAATAAAGATTTAAAAAAAACCTGGCGATTTCATTACCTCGTAAATGTCTACATGGGTTGATTTCTGGATGTCCGGACACACGCAAAATTTTGTCGCATTCTTTCTGCTGACGAAAGCACTCTAGGCACACCACATGCCAAATTAAAGAGCGATGTATACATATTTCGTCCAGAATAAATAGAGGAAACGGAGTCACACAATCTTATCCTAGATTGTGTTATACAGGGTATCTTGTGGGGGTAGGGGGTGGGGATGATTGCATGACATCAAGTAGATTACGTGACTTTTGCTTGTGGGAGAGAGGGTGGGTAGACATGTTACAGAACTTGAAAACAAGAGAGTGTAGGGAAAAGTGACCCACCCGCAGGAAAACTTAAAAAATGCAGGAAAAAGTTAAACTTTTGAAATCTATAACAAAAATGTGGGGAAAGTAAAAACTATTTTGTGGGGAAAAGAGACCATGCATCGAGATGATTATTTATTAATTTATTTATTTATGTACCAGTTAATCCTCAAATAATCCTGAAAAAGGCAAGAATTTGGATGACAACAAATTCTTGTTAGTTCTCTCAACAACTGGTACATGTAATTGGACCTGATGCTCGTTACCAAGGGTCGTATTTCTGTTAGAATTGATTGGGAGAATTTTCGATGTATTGGCCTTTCAAAGCATTGATTCCAACATACAATTTCTCCTTACTAGTGTCAATACATTTCTTATTACTTCTTAGGAGATTTGAAAGTGTGCCTATATCTTTGAGCCCTTATGACCACATACAAATTCTCCTTAACTGCATACTGGTCTTGATACATTTCTTGTAGAATGAGTTGGGCAAATTTGAAGAAAAAACAGAAAACCAGTAAAAGAGGAGAGAGATGGAGGAACAAACAAGATCCTTATTAAAAAAACTTCACCTCATTTATTCTTCTTTTGATAATTTTCTCAGAACATGATCTCCATGTGAAGCAAGTTATTGCAAAAATGCCCAGATAATATGGCATAACATTTCTAGCTGCAAATGATACAAAAAGCAAAATTACAGCAAGTGGTTGATCTATACAGTTCATATTATAAAGCATAATACATGAAGCATTGTCAAAATCATGCATAATTTACGATTATGCACTATAGACTGAAATTCTTTGAAGATGGTTTACAAAGGTCTTGTACCACTACTCCAGCATCAATTACACTTGCACTGTTATCATGATAGTGTTTCACCTTTTGTCACCTGTAAAAACAATGAAATTACGATCAACATCTACATGTAACACCTTGCAATTAAATAATAAGTCAAATCATTCTCGCATTTTGATTTGCTCTTATAACCAACTGGAGGACAGACACATGTGACATAAAACTTATCAGCGGAAGGAAACACTATGTAAAACAAATTGATATAAAACAAAATAATGGATTTCCAAGTTGCCATGCATCTGTTCAGTAACTGATTATCACAGAAGATGCCAAAATGTGATAAGAACATCAGTGACAAACTTGGCTATCACCTTGTGTGCCACTTATTTTGATGTCATCTGTGATTAATTACTGAACAGATCTGTGATTAATTATTACTGAACAGATGCATAGCAACATGGAATCTATTTGTTTTAAAAATTGTGAAGCAAACAGTAGGCTCGATTTCTGCCACTCTCTTGGGTCCTATTCCTGAAGGTCTTCAGCAGAAGAGCATGGTTCATTTTTTCAAACAATGGCTGGTAATCAAGCCTAGCTAGACAGGTGATGAGAATGTAATAATTTCCATCACTGTAAACTTCTATGTTACAGAGCATTGTTCATTATTAAGAAAGCTTCATTATGGAGGCAAGCCGGGAGCCTGACTGGTGAGCAGTTTGGTGTGGTGAGGTAGGATCCTGTATGTTTTCCATTTATGTGGATAGGTTTTTTCTTAGCTCCCTGGGTACCAACATGATGAGACTGTTCAATTTAAAGATGTGCACTCCTGTTATTTGAAAATGTAGAGAACTTTTACAGCTGGGCCCTCAAAATATCTATTGTGCTCCAACAACTTCCTGTTGTGTTTTAAGATGACGTAATACATATATATTTAAGCTTTTCTACTCCTTTTCACAAATTAGCTAAATAATAAGGTCTGACATATAATTTGATTCCAAAGCTGCATATGAATAGGTAGGCCAGATGCTGTTTGATACATACTCTGGCTTCAATATATTCTACTCGCTGCTCCAGGGATGTCAGTTGTTCATTTATCTTTGCTAATCTTGATCTACATGACATGTCTGAAAAACAAAAGGTTGAGAAAAAAATTGGTTTTTAGAGGAACCAGGCTACAGGTATAACAGCTAGTTTCCTATACTGTACGAAAATAGATGTCTAGCCTGCTTGGCAGGCATTCAAGTCTAGTGTGTGTGAAAAATATGGAAAAAACTAAGCGTGGCTTTTATTAATACATACATAGTTATTTAAGAAATAGAAAACATGTTCCGTGTTTCTATCGAGTTTTAGTAGAAATCTACTAGTGTTCTATCACGAATGCCGTCTCTGATTGGCTATGCTACTAACTATCTATTCTGTGATAGATAGTGAGTAGCGTAGCAGTGTGCCCTTGTTAACAAAATGACGGCCACTTCTTTGCATTTTCTGTGAAGAGGATTTACATGTAGATCAAGTTTTGAACGACTAGTAGATTTATACGAAAACACTTAGATTATTTGCTCTTGATTACTTGTAATTGATTTTATCTCTTATCTCTTGTATTTTTATTCATTATATTATTTCATAGTTATGCCATAGTTTTAACATCCGTATTGTACAGAATTTTTAGAGGGCCACTGGTTTGTTAGTATTTTTATACTATTTTAGTGCTACCCTCTTTAAATAAAGTCTTTACTTACTTACTTACTATTTCTATCACATGATAGAAATCTCGAGCTCATAATCTAATTGTTTAATAGCAACACGAGTGAAAGTTTGGGAGAACGAGAAATGCTGTGGGAACACGTGCCACAGGCAAGTGTTTCCACAGCTTTTTCAAGTTCTCCCAGACTTTCACAAGTGTTTCTATAACCCGATAGAAACACGGAGAACATGTTTCTTTTAGAAAACACCGCGATGAAAAAAAGGAAAACGGCCTGTTAACTTTGACCATCAAAATGTAAATTCTCTTCACTCATGTCATCATTACGTCAACGGCTCGTGCTAGTTCTGTGTTTCTATTGAGTTATAGAAACATGATTTTAAACCTATCAGCCCGCGTATTTTCTTAGGGCTGTTTTCTTAACATA